CTCCAGCAGAGCTCCTCCCCGTACAGAGGGCACCTCGCGCCGTCTCCTGGATACAGCTACCGAGCAGCAGCACAGAGGACGGGACACAGCCTCTCCCATGGTTCCTCAGAAACATCCCTCTCCTCCACCTCGTACTCCAGCCCTGCCCACTCGGTCTCCACAGACTGCTCTGCCCTGTTTGCAGGGACCTCGGGGTATTTCAGCAGCCAGCAGCACTCTGGCAGCGTCAGCAGCAGCCTCCTGAGGAAGAGCTGCCCCGCGGCTGCCAGCCCGGCACAGCAGACAGCTGTGGACTCTCTCTCCTCCGAGTCGGGCTCCCAGCCCTGCACGGGTGTGTCGGGCTCCTCCTCCGCTCCCCAAAGTGCTCGCTCACTACAGTCAGACTTGCGGACTATCAGTCTACCCAACTCTGGGCAGTCTGTGCTCTACCAGGGCTCCCGGGGCGCAGTGATTTCCAGTGCACAACACTATCCACACCGCGGGGGAGGCAGTGTCCACCAGTACAGACTGCAGCAGCTTCAAGGTTCTGGAGTAAAGACTCAAACAGGACTTTCCTAGGGCTGCCTGGACTCCAGGAGGACAAAACTGCCCATAGCTCCTTCCAGTCACCTCTGGAAGTGGCTCCTGGGCCGGTGTTGGGAGTTTGCACCTGATGCTGGGGTGCCAGGGGTCAGAGGCTGAGGTCTGAAATGCACGGGTGAGATTTGTGAGCAGTATTGGCCTCTGGCCTGGTAGGAGAACGCAGATTTCTCTGAGGCAGAGACTGTAGCAAAGCAGTTCCCTGATGCGTGGGTACATTGCAAAAACAAAAACAAAAAAAAAGGAAAAAAAAAAAGCAAATGGTTCAAGTGCAATGACTGTGGCACAGCCTCTGTCTCTGGTCCGTGCCCGTGGCCATAGTCACTCATGCAGCACGGACACCGTTCTGAATTTGAAAGCAGTTTAAAGGAAACGTTGGGGGAAGTTAACTCCAATCTCTTTATAGGTCAGGTTCTCAGTGCGTTCTGGGGAGGGCTTTAATCCGTTACGATCATTCCAGTCACAAGCAGATGAGCGCACACGGCTGCCTTTGGGCCTGGGTCACCACTGCCACTGTCAGAGCTTTTTCCAGGACAGCAGAGTCTCCGCAAATGTGAACTAGCACAGGAGGGAGGGGGTTGGAGAGTGCCTGTCGCTGCAGAGGGTCTGGGGTGCGCTGTCATGTGCTGCTTCCTTGCAGGGCTATCATGAACGTGTGTTCTGAGGTCGCTTAAGGAGTCTGTGAACAGGAGCACGGCCGAGGCTGTGCTGTCACACGCTGCCGTGCCAGGGGTCTCCGGCTGCCGGTGTGGAGACACGTGGGGGGTGACCGAGGGCCTGATCAGGCAAGTGATGCTGCAGTGCACAGGGGGCTGCAGGCAGAGGAGCGGGGGCTGCCGAGGGGCGGTGCTGGGGCGTTGGGTGCAGACCCCGGTCTGTGCCGAGCCAGAGGCTCTTGGGGCAGTGCCATGTGGGGTCCTTCCCAGCCGCTGTCAGCCGCCGAGCGTGGCAGGAGAGCCAGCCCAGACACAGTGCGCTGTCTGTTCAATTCCATACGGTTGCCAGCTTCTTTCTCACTTGTTTACTGTAATATCGGGCGTGTTTTTATTTATCTAATTTTATATTCAGTTATAACCATAGTAGGTTAGCTAATATATGACAGGTGTCATCCCTGGTGCTGCAGTGGAACTTCTCCTTTCTCTTGGATAACATAATGCTGTGAGTCTGTCTCCCCTGTCCTTTCAGATGCACAGTCTTCTTCCTCTTTTTTTAGGACTGTTACAGGTTTCTCTAATTCACAATTGAAATCAGGTGTTTGTTCAGCCTAGGGGAGACTTTTAAAATATTGAAACAAAGAGTAACTTTCTCACACTGTCTGGCTGTGAGCGTGTTGGGATGGAACTTGTCACCCCGCAGTTGGGTGTCTGTATACTGTATAAAATAGGTGTAAACTTCACTTGGCTTAGCCCTGGGGGTGCAGCCTCCCCTTTCGTGCTCTGAGCAGCACGGGGCAGGCAGGCTCTGCCCTGCCAGGCGGCGAGAGGGGGCCGGGGGGCCCTGCCCAGAGGCTCCAGCACCTTTGAGCGCAGCAGGGGGGCAGGAGGGAGGGACCCTGGAAAGCTCTAGGAAAGGTGGGGGCTGTAGCTTCTTACTCTAGTGGAGTTTTTACACCATGCTGTAACATTTGAACTTTCACAAGAGATGTAATAATTTTGATAATAAAAATACTTAACTTGAAACCCGGTATTTCTTTCTGTTTCCTTACCACCTTGAGCCTTGGTGCCCAGGATGTGGGGTGAGGGAGTGGGGGCATATTGGTCTCCCTCTCCTGTCCCTGCAGGGTAAGCAGATCTTCACAGGAGCAGCCCTGCAGACCTCCCTTCTGCCAGCATTTTGGGTGAAGCCAGGGGCTGCTTCAGGAGCTGCTGTTCCTGAGGAAAGGAAATTCCCTGAGCTTCTGGCTGGGGTTGTGAGATTGTGGCTGTGCTGCTGTTCTTGCTCATCTTGGGAGGAGATGGTGGGGAGGATGTCCCCTGCACCACTGCAACCTGCTTCAAAACCTGGTTTCTGGTGTGTTGGTAGCCAGGGTTTTCATGTTGCTTGCCTTTTCCTTAGGAAGCCTGAGATGGGCTGAGCCTGGAGGGGGGCCCACCAGGTGTTGCCTGCAAGTGCTGGTCTGAGATGCCCATGGCCGGTGTTTGACTGCCCTCATAATGAGAACGTTCCCCCTGACACCTTGTGAGACAGTGTCTGTTGTGGCTCATCCTGTCCCTGTGCATTCCTCAGAAGAGTCTGACTCCATCTCCTGTACTGCCTCCCCAAAAGCAACTGTGGGCAGCACCAACCCCCCCACTTCTCTCCCAGCAGCTGACCCAGCCCGCCCCTCAGCCATCTGCCAGTGCAGGGCTCACCCGGGCTCCAAGCACGTCCTGTACCAGCGAGACCAGAGCTGGCCAAAGCTCTCCAGATGTCCAAGAGTTCCCCATGCTGCCCTCACACAGCCTGGAATACATCCCTGCTCCTCTACCAGAGCACGCCGCTGGAATGACCAGCCATGTAAGTTGTTTTTTTTCCATCAAGACACATTAGATGAATTTCAGGAGGCTGCTATCAGCCTGTGTCTGCCTGTGAGCTGACAGACCACTCGTGGCAGAAGGGACAGGCACAAAAGCTCCTAAGGATGGATGGGATCCCTGCCCCACCTCCTGCCTTGCCATAGAGTGGGACCCTTTCCCTGGGGACTTGCTTTGGCCATGCGGGTGGAGGCTCAACCCCACTGGGCACAGGGAGGGCTCTCCACCCTCCCTTCCCCACCCTCCCTTCCCCACCACCGCTCAGACACTCATGTGGGGTCCTTTGACCTCCTTGCAGACCACCTCCTCTGTGTTGGCAGTGCTGGCAGGAGCCCATCCCAACCCTCCCCATACCACAGGGCTCCGAGCTTGTCTGGTTTGAATTATATTTTTCAATAAGGTTTTGTGAAACACTGTATCAAACTTTGTACTAAAATACAGATATATTACAGCTACTGTATTCCTTTCTCCACTGATTTTTCTTGGTTTGTTTTTCCAATTCAGCTGGCAACAGCACTCACAAGCTGGCAAGGCCCAGGTGCTGCCAGGCGCAGGGGGTTCCTGCTGACCTCGTTCCAGGGGGGCAGCTGCCGGAGGGAGGTGGGCACCGCCAGGCTCATGGCACCCACGCCGTCCCAGGTGATTTTGGCTCCCAGATCCAGATGGTGTTTCGGCACAGCTCCATCCCTCACTGCCACCCTGCAGGGCCTCAGGGCACCACTTACCTGCTCCCACCAGCCCCTGGTGCCCGCTGAGGCGATGGTTCCTGCAGAGCACTTGATGCCGTCCCTCAGCAGCCTGCATGCTCTGTGGCCCCATCCCGAGACCCACTCTGCTCCCTGCTCCCCGGCCTTGCCCAGTGCCTGGGTCCAGCCCTGCCAGGGCCCCCTGGGGGCCCTCCCTTGCCCGGGGCCCTGCGAGGAGCCCCAGCTGCTCGCACTGAGACGCGGCCAGTGCTGAGGACTTTATTGCATTGCGAGGGCTGCGGTGAGCCAAGCCCCCGTGGCCAGGGGAAGCCCACACACACCGATCTGGCCAGCAGAGCCACAACCGGGCTGCGGCCGCCCGCGCCGGGGTGTCGGTGCCGGCTCTGGGGTGCTGTGTGGGGGCCATCGGAGCCGGGCAGCTGCCCCCGGCTCCCCGCGGGACAGCGAGGTGCAGCCAGGAGGCCGGGTGGGCACAGGAGGGCTTGGGTACCCCCGGCCACGCCGTCACCAGTGGAGATAAAGCACCGTATGGGGAGGGAAGGCGTTTGGCAACAGCCCGCGGCCGGCTCGGGGAGGGGTCTGGCGGGAGGCACCCGCCCAGGGGGTTTTGCATGTTCAGCTGCTCCCACTTACCAGGGCTTACATTCAGCGGCGGAGCGTGTCGGGTGTCCCATGGCCGGCAGCAGCGAGGCCCCGGCCACACGCCAGGAAGCACCGCGTCCTGGGGCCGGGCTCCCGGGGTGGGGGGCGAGGGGATTCGAGTCACTTTACCCTGTTTAGAGAATATGAATTTACATGTAAAAGTAGGGGTTGGGCCCTATCCCGGCCACCGGGTCCCCTGGCCGTGGAGACAGGATCACGGAGCTGTACAAAATGGGAGTGGGGAGGGGTCCGGGACCCGGAGCAGCCGGCACGGGGCGTCACTGGGTGCGCGTTCGGGTGGGAGGCAGCAGGTCAGGAGTCCTGGGGATGTAGAAATCTGTTAAAAACTCCGAGACTGTTTTTTCCTTGAAACAAAACCGCAGTTGGATGCTGTTCTTGAACGAAGCGCGTTTCAGGCATCCTTCCCCGGCGGCGGCCCGCGGGCAGCGCGGGGTGCGGAGCTGGCGGGGTGCGTGGGATGGCGGTGCCGGCGTGGACATGGAGGTGGCCGTGGATGCGGCGGGCGGGCGGCGCATCCCTGGCGCGGGCGGCGGGGCCCGGGGGGCGGCGCGGGACGCTGTGTGGCCGCTGGCAGCAGACGAAGGGCAAGAGAGGGAGGGAGCGCCCAGGCTGCCGGCCATGGGAAGAGGGTCCTGCTGCGGACGGTCGGCCTTATATCCTCTGTGGGAAGAGCACAGCGGGTCGAGGACGGTGTTGGGCAGGTCTTACTGCACCATCGTGCCATCAGCACATGCCTGTCCCCATCCCTGCCGCGCCCCACCCTGTCCCTGCTTCCTCCCTTCCCCATTGTCCCCAGCCTCGCTGCCCTCACAGACAGGGTTTCCCCATCCCAAGCCACACAGCACACCCAGACACGCCACACACAGGGCCAGAGGACAGGACAGTGACACTCAAGACTTACCGCAGTGCCAACAAAATCTGTGGAAACAGAAGAGACGGACGTCAGGCAGGACAGAGGCTCGGCACCCCGCTCCGCTCCCACCCTGCCCAGCCTGCTCCGCTTTGTAGGTGGCAGTTAAGCCCATGGGACTCTCTTCAGGATGCTGGAGGGGCCAAGACCCCCAGGCTGTTCCCACCCACGATCCCCCCAGGGCCCCGAGCCCCTCGGCAGCGTGGCTCTCACCTTTGCTCTCTGTCTTGAGCTCCTCGTGCAGCAGGTCGTTCTGCCGGTTGCCAAGAACAAAGGCCAGGAAGGAAAGGATGAGAGCGTTGAGGATGCCGATGATGGCCAGGATGTAAGCCCAGCGCACGGAGCAGTCGCCCAGGGAGTATTTCCCTGTCTTCTCCCCGCACATGTCCCGTATGGTCTCTGCGTCCCAGCCATCAGGAAAGATCATACAGCCCAGCACCAGGCAGAGCGCTGCAAGGGGGAGAGGAGAGGAGGCATCAGAGGGGACACGGGGTGGCAGTGCCAGGCACTGAGCCCCCCAGTCGGTCCATGAGTGCAGCCCACGCCTGTCAGGGAGCCCACCTTGGCCCCATGACAGCCAGGTGACGTGGCAGGAGACAGCCACCACTGCCCCAGCAGCCCCAGGGACTGGATTTGCACTGGATTTGGCTGCCCCATATCTTGCCCACACAAAAATGGGAACTTTAGGGTCTTGGTTTCTTCCAGCATCAGTCACAGGATCAGTGGTTCCCCATGGGCTTTCCTCATCACTGCAGACTCCCTGCATGTGGGCAGGAGCTACCAGGCAGGAGCTGCAGGCAGGGATGCTGCGTGCTGAGAGGATCGTCATCCCCAGGAGCCCCTACACCCAACCACCACACATCCTGCAAGCACCGCTCCCAGAGGGGTCACCTTCCCAGTGTGCCTCCATCCTGCACGCTCCATGCTGAGCAAGGAGACATCAGGGAACACACGGAGGGAAATGCCAACACAAAGCCTGTGACTGTCAAGGTAAGAAGGTGACGTTTTTTCTAACTACAGCAAGTATAAAAGCTCCTTGTCCGTATCAGCCGGGAAGGCTAAAAATAGTAATGATGTTGGCTGGGGTGCCCTGCAGGTATTTTTGCCCTGAGTTAGGGAAGAACCAAGAAGCTTCTGCCAGCACCAGTGAGGAATTATCTCCCCATCCCTTACTGCTGGAGGGACAGCAAACACCCTGCAGGCATGAGTGCTGTAGCAGTGGCCCCAGGGAAGGGCAGCTAGTGGTCTGGCACAAGCTGTCCGGGTGCTGGCACGTGCTTTGAACTGCTCTCAGGAGGGAAGGAAAATCCCAGGAGGGAGAGAAGCACATGCGGGGCATCACACTAGGAGCAGGTATTGCCCTCGCATCCTGATAAGCTGCACCCAGAAAAGAGCAGGGACACTGAGGTGAGTAGTCTGTGCTCTGGTACATAATGTCACGTGCCAGCTGCTGCCTGGTCTCTGCCTCCTCCATCCACATCACAAACCTGCTCTGTAGAAGTGTCTTTGTAGGCAGTGGTGAGCCCTGCATGCTGATTTAGGGCCGTGCACAGCCCTGGTTCCACCCTGGCACTGCATGGCTGCACAGGAGCTGACAAGCTGGCACCTCCAGTACATCGTCACCAGGGACTCCCAGCCAAGCACAGCGTGTCTGGGGGAGCTCCCTGCCTGCTGGGACTGGGCCAGCCCAAAACCATCCCTCTGCAAGGAAGTACAATCAGCACCAACGCCGTGCTCTGCATGGTAAATGGTGAGGTGTAGCCTGGCCTGATGCTGACCTGGGCACCTTGGGGCAGGATGGCATTAATTCAGCCAAGGGCCTGAAATAAAGGGGAGCAGGTGCAGCAAACCTGTGCCAGGGACTGTTCCCTGTGAAAGCAAGATGCTAAGAGGATTTTAGGATCCACTGAGCTCCCAGTGCAGCGCAGTATGAAACAAGCTAAGGTGCTCTGTGGCCATCCCTGGCAAGGGGGTGGGTTTGTCCCTGCAGCTCAGAGCAGCTCAGTGCTCTCTTCTTCCCATCTGTCCTACATGTTCCCAGCAGCAAGCCGAGTCCTCTGCTCTGTCACAAGCAATTCCCTTTTCTGCATGTCCCCAGCCCGCCCGATGTCCTGGAAACACCTTCCCGTGCCTGCAGCAAGGAGTGACATTGAAGAGTGGAGCAAGAACAAGGAGGGGATCCCCACATAGTCCACAGGCCTCAGCACTGCCCTCTGCAACAGCTCTGAGGGGTGCAAGATTGGGGCTCTGCCTGCACCTGCCTCCCAATGCCCCAAGATCCCTTGCAGACCTGCAGGAAAACCTTGATTTTTGTTTAAAACAACCTATTTCTACACCTTGCAACCACAAGAAAAACACCAAGTGATGACTCCTACTAGAGCCACTATTAAAGAGGAAAAAATAACCCAACTCCCATCCATTTTGCTTTTAATTCCTGTTCTTCTGAGGGTGTGGTGCGAGTCCTCACTGCCAGTGGCACCAAGGATGACTGGCTACTCTGTCACACCCCACAGCTGCCATCCTTCTCCCAGGCCCTGGGCTCCAACTCCCTCTTCTAGAGTTTTCCCAGTTGGAAAGGCATTTCAGTGATCACTGGGGGAGGGTGTATGCGGAGGGAGGATGATCCTGCTGGGGATGGGGTTCTGGCCCCGGAAAAACTAGCATTTCTTGGCTTGGTTTTACAGCTGGTTCATGGCTTCCCACTCCTCAGTGCTCCCTTGTCAAGGTCCTCTAGAAATGAAACGGGCATCTCAAGGGCTTTTGATATCCTTGCAAAAGAAATTAATCAAAGGGAATGTAACATTATGACTCAGGCTGCAACACAAGAGGAAGCTCCTCCCGGCAGGATAACATCTCCTGGTACAAGGTGCATTTAGCTAATTTGTCTGAGTAGCCCCATGTTTGCTGAGTACCACGGCTATCCCAGTACTGCACCTGCCCTGAGCAGCTGTGCCTGCAGCATTAAAATCTGATTTTTTAATCACTTTTTCTGTCCAGTTTAGTCTGCAGGTGTGGGTGAAGACTGGCTTTTACTGCTTTTGCCTCCCATGGGTGGAAGAAGCTCAGGACATGCCCTGCAGCTGAGAGATGTGGCCTCCCCCTGAACATGGGCACACAGAGCATCACACCGCCCCAGGACACGCAAACTGGAAAATGTGGGGTAACGGGGGGGAACCAGCAACCACTGGGGCCCAAAGGGGCTTGTTAAACCTGGTGTGGGGACAGTGAGCCCCAAGCCTCTGGGGAACAGGGGCTGGGCTGTGATACTGGGGTCTGGAGTGGCTGCTTCTCACTAGAAAACCTCCTGAGAGCTGATCACTGAAGGGAAAGGGGACAAACACAGCTGCCCTTCCTTCCCACAAAAACTGAAATCCCTCAAAAATAAATGAACACTAAGGGCAGCGTGCTCAGGACGAGTAGCACCGGCCATTTACACAGACACGAGCTCCCTTACGGCATTTTGCTCCACAGGCTGTTTCCGTGCCAAAAAATCAGCAGGATTCAGAATAGAGTTATGAGTTTGTATGAATCAGAACTGACAGTTACTTTATCTGGAACAACAGTTAAGGGATGTAAGCTCCAGGACACGAGCGGCTCCAAAACGCGCGGCTCAGCCCCTCCCTGCGAGTACACAGGCACATTAACAGCCGCTACGGGAGGGACGCGCTGCCGTGCAAACCCCGGGGCTGCTGCCGCGGAGCACACGGCGCCGGCTGGATGCAAGGAATAGACTGAATCCCTGCTCCTGTCCCCGCTGCAAGGCAGGATTGGCAGTGGAAGGAGGGGGGAGTCTTCAGGAAAGCTTTTCTGGGGGCCAGAAGACGGTAATTGATCAAAGGCTAAGTTTTTTCGCGGTGATGTAATTTTTGCTGCAAGGTCGGCAGGTGGAAGTGGTTCACCTGAAAGATCATATTTTTGGCAATATTTCTCCCTTGAACAGAGAAAGGGCTTGAGGATACAGGACAGAATCACAGAATCACGGGATAGTTAAGGTTAGAAGTGACCTGTGGAGATCATCCAGTCCAACCCCCCTGCTGAGGCAGGGTCACCTAGAGCAAGTTATATAGGAATGCATCCAGGTGAGTTTTGAATGTCTCCAGAGAGGGAGACTCCATGACCTCCCTGGGCAGTTTCATTCCCAGTAGCTGTCCCAGTTACACTCCAAGCTGGTTTGGAGCAGTGGAATCTGCCTCAAATTTTTTCATTATGAAAATCAATTAATGACTTTTATATCCATGAAAACAATTGCTTTGAAACCTCAAACTCTGAGAGGAGTTGGCTCTCCAGCAAGTCCCAGTCAGGAAGATGAGCCTGAGATGTGGCTCAGCAGAGCCACCACATCGTTGCCAGCACCACGGAGCTGTGGTGCTGGGGCCAGACCCTGCTCTCCCTTGGGGCTGAGGCGACATACCCACACCACACGGCCCTGCCACACACAGCCCAGCATCTGCCAATGGGCTTCCTCAGCACTCCTCTTCCTGGACGTGCCAGAACGATGCCCTGCAAGGGGTCCCCACTCAGAAGGTGGCAAACACGGCTCAGATGCAGAAGATGAAGTCACTGCTCAGGGCTCTGCCTCTGCTCCCAGCCCTCGGAAGGGCCCATCCGAGAGGTGAGTGTAGCTCTGAAGGGAGTCTCCCAAAGGAGAAAAGGGCTCAGATGGATATGTATTAACAGATTGTCCATCAGGTAAGGTGCCTGGACATGGCATAGTCAACTCCAAAGTGCTATGGATAAGGACAAACCCCAGCCCTACTGTCAAAGGCATGGCCCTGGACATCATGCATCCCTAGGGGAGCTGGAAGGTCTCACCACACTGACTGCTGGACCTGAAGCACAGGGAAACACCTTAAAATGTGGCCAGTCCATCCCTACATGCAAGAGGGATGGTGTGCTCAGCTGCCTGCCTCTTTTGACCCTCAGTAGATTGTAAGTACAAAACTGAAGACCCCCTGGAAACAGAACCCTGGACCCACTCGGAGTGACTGTCCTGATGAGAAGCATGTGGATGCAGTCACACAGAGGTGGTTGGGCTCTCTTACTCCGGATTATTTGTGGGCACCAAGACAAAGCTTGGAGTTAACTCACAGGGTGATTGTGCCTTATGCTACAGCAGAGGATCAGGGAATCAGAGGAAATGCTCAGACTCCTGGGAAGCCTCCCCAGTACGTGGTGAGGGTGTATTCCTATGCTCCAGTCTTCTGCAGATGGATCCTAAGGGGGATTACCGTCACAGCCCACTTCTCTTCAAGTAAGCATCATCCCATGGGACTTTCTGAAGGAGCTCCTCCACTGATTTTGAGTACTGAGGTGGCATCAGGTGCTGTCAGTCACACAGTTGCTGACGTGCTCATGTTAAGGGCCCATCTCTGGTTTTGTAACAGAAGGATTTAGCAAAATCTCGTTTTGCGTTACTGGGATTTCGAACAGGGCAGATGGCCACGTTCTATTTGCGATAAAGCAGAGTCTTTCCTCTTAATTAGATCCAGTTTCCTCCTAGGGGGGCAGTGGCTTTTGAACTGGAGCTTTCTGTCAAGCTCTAATTAAACTCTGCCTTGATTGCTGTCCACTAATTAGACATTGATGATTTAAACTTTTTTTTTTTGAAAGAGATCCTGAATTCCTCATGCCCCTCCCCCACATTCCTGCACTCGATTTTTCTCTTCTGCCGAGCCCATCCATGCCCACACTCAGCAGCCCTGTACTCTGCACTGGACGTTCCAGAGGGACAGGGTGGGGACACCTCTGCCCCATCTCTCTGCTAGTCCCCTTGTTACCTGGTTTTCACCAGTGAGACCAAGAGACTTTGAGTCTCACTGTTGCTGTAGTAGTGCAAGTCCTCCTTCAGCTAAAGCCTCATCGAGGCAGGAGGAATGTCCTTCCCTTCTCTGCCCCTCCAAGCCCTCTCCTCTGGCACAACCCTCCAACCTCCCAGGCAGATGAATCTCCGAAGTCTGCCACCATGCTGTGCCAGAGCCTGCATCGGGCCACCTACTGCCCTACTCATGAGATCTGGCCCCTGTGTGTGCTCCATGGGTCACAGCAACTCCTCCTCCATGCACAAGGTAACACATCCACCTGCAGCTGTCTCTGACATGCCCGCGGAAGTTCAGCCCTGCCCAATGCTCCAGGATGAGACTCCTTGCTGGGACACACCACTCCACCACCTCTGTGTCCTAGCCCTCCCTGACAGGGACACCAGCCTGTCCTGCAGGACAGTAGCTCTCTTGTGCTGTCCAGTCTCCAGGCAGAGTGCAGGGACAACCTCTGTTAATGCTGCCTTGGACTTTCCCCAGCACAGAGAGGCCACGGAGCCATGCTGCTGTGGGAGAGCTCTGAGCCAGCCTGGCCCAGCTGGAGCCAGAGGAGCTGATCCATGGCCCCAGCAAGACACACGCTTGGGGTTCACAAGTGCCACTATGAGCAACGCATGTGTAACAACAAGGTGCAAAGTGTGAGCAGGGACAAGCCCCATACAGGACAAGGGGTATCCAGAGCTGACAGCACAGGGTGCTGTTGTGGCCACCCAAACTTGAGCCAAGGCAGGACAGGAGGCAATGGGGAGGAAGCTCAGAGCTGCCTTGAGTGCAGTGCCCTCCACCACACAGCTCCCTGTGCAGCAGCAGCACTCGGGTTGCTCCAAACCACTTGATTAAGCTGCTGACAATCATCGGTAGGATTTGGGCTCTGAGCTTGCTTTAAACTGATAAATCTTCAGGACAGGGAAAATTAAAGATGAGGGAATTTCCTGATAAGCCAAGGCAGCTCCTGGTCTGGCTGTGGTCCTGATCTGGGTGACGAGAGGTCAGGCTTTCCAGCCCCAGCCAGCTGCAAGGGAGAGAGCTGGGCTGGCTGCAAGGCCCTAGCACAGAGGGGCTATATCCTTCCACATCAATGACTGGGGCCCTGCTCACAGAGGGGACAGATTGGGTCCTTTCATTAGGAATAAGGGCTGCTCTGGGTCCTTCCAGTGGAAGCTCTGGGTCTATTCACACTTTGTATGTAGTGGAGAGTAACAGTGTCTGTCTATAGTTCATAAAACTGGACAGAGAAGGAAGTGAGGGATCCCCCTACCAGGGAAAGCTCAGCATCAGTTCTCAGGGTCTTTCTCCAAAAAGGACAGACTCTCTGTTAGGACAGCTCAGAGGTCTGTGCACAAGAGATACTCAGGATCCTTTATTAGTATAGGCATTAGGTCCTCTTCTGGAGAAAGGGTTATTGTATGGTGCCACTTTGAGGAGTGAGTCTATGAGGGTCTTGGGGCACATCTGCAATGGGGTTTAATTTGTGGAGGGAGCTAAGGAGAATCTATAGACAGGGACACTTTGGGGGGCAATGACTGGGCTTGAGCCTGTGGTCATGCCTGAGCAGACCTCAAGGTAAATGTATAATGTTCCCCCACGGGAAGCACTGGAGAGAGCTCAAAAGGCTTGTCCTCACAGCTCTTTCATGATGTGGGAGGGAGGGGGCCTGGGCACAACATGTCTTTAAGGGGGAGCTGAAGGGTCTGTCTGTGCACAGGTGCTTTTACAGGGCTGGGAGATCCATGCATGGGTTCCTACCAGTGATGAGGTTCCTTCAGACACTGGGGATTCCCCTAAAGTGAGTATCCCTTGGGGACATCCCTTACTCAGGGATGTCCCTGGGGCTGGTTTGACAGAAAGGCTAGTCCCTGATGGGGACTGTCCCGGGGTGTCTGCATCCCCAGGGGCCTGATCCCAGGTCCAATGTGTCCTAGGCCATCTTGCAGTTGGTCCTTGATTCTGTCAGTCCCTGTTGTAGGGTATCCCAACACTGGTTCCTGACTGGGGTGTCCCAAGGCTGGTCCCTGGCCCAGGATGTCCCGAGGTACTCCAAGGCCAGTGCCTGGCTCAGCTTTCCTGAGGTACTCCAGGCTGCCCAGGTGGCTGGGGCCAGTGCCTGTTCTGGGATCCCCTAAGGGGGGGTCCCTGATCCAGCTTTCCTGCTGTGTCCCAGTGAGTCCTGCGGTTCCCTGGAGTCAGACCTTCCTGAGGAACCACAGGTTCCAGAGCCCAGAACAGGTGCAAATTCCTGGTGCTCTGTTAGTGCCAATGCCTGGCCTGGGTGTCCCAGGAAGTCCTGGAGTGTCCTGAAGACACTTCTTGGATGGTATGCCCCATGGCCCGACAGTGCTTGTACCCTGCCCAGCTTCCTTGAGCAACCCGTGTTCCCTGAAGCCAACCTCTGCCTGGGGAGCCCCGGGCATCAGTGCCAGCACCTGTTCCTGGTGCTCTGTCAGTGCCAGTGCCTGCCCTGGGTGTCTCAGGAAGTCCTGGGATGTCCTGGGCCTGGCTCCTGGCTGGGATACTGTATGGTTACTCGTACCCAGTATTTGTACCAGAACCCAGCTTTCTTGGGCAGCCCTAGTGTTGCTTGTGGCCAGGGGATACTAGGGAGCCCTGGGTGGCAGTGTCCTGAACTGGTGCCCATTCCTGGTAGTCTGTCAGCACTTGCACCCGGCCTGGGTGTCCCAAGAAGCCATGAGGCTGGATCCTGGAACCACGGCCCCGCAGTGCTTGGACCCAGCCCAGCTTCCTTGAGCAACCTCGGTGCTCCCTGCAGCCAGGGACCCCACTACCAGTGCCAGGTCCTCCCGGAGTGCCCCACACCCGGCGTTGCCCACATTCCCCCCGCCCATCGCCCGCCGCCAGGCCCGGGGCAGGCCAGTGCTCCCGGTGCCGGTGCTCCCGGTGCCGGAGTGTACCTGCCAGCAGCTGCATCCAGGCGCAGATCTTGTAGACGGTGGCGGTGTTGCAGAAGAAGAATAGGGCGAAGCAGGTGATGCAGCCCAGCGTCAGCACCATGGAGAGCAGCACGAAGAACGCGGCCGCCTGGAAGGCGCCCGAGGGGATGGTGCTGAAGTCGGTGAAGGAGCCACGGCATGACAGCTCCCGGCCCGCCAGCCCGCTGCCCACGCAATAGTGGAACAGCCCGAAGTACCCGGGCTTGGGCGTGTTGACGCTGTCGCCCACCCAGTAGGGCTGGATGAAGACCACCACGTTGATGATGGCGAAGCAGATGGTGAAGATGGCCCAGAGCACGCCGATGGCGCGCGAGTTCCGCACGTAGTTGTCATGGTACAGCTTGGAGGCTTCCTGCGAGGGCAGCATCCTGCCGGCCGCCGCTGCCGGAGGGCGGGAGGGGCCGGGACGGCGGGGGGCCCGCCCGGGGTCGGCGGGGCGGGGGGGGCCGCGGCCTAAGAGCGCCCGCGGGCTGCCGGGCCCTGCGACACCCGCGCCGCCATCTTGGCTGCCGCCTCTGCGCCCCGCGCGCTCCCGCCGCGCGCGCGCGGCCGCGCGCCCCCCGCCACTGCGGAGCCGAGCCCGAGCCCAGCCGAGCCCGGCCGTGCTGAGCCGAGCCCAGCCCAGTCCAGCCCAGCCCGAGCCGAGCCCGCCGCGCGCGCCCCCCAGGGATCGGGCTGCTCCGGCCGCCTTCGGCTGCGCCCGCCTCGGGCTCGGCCGGACTCGGGTCGCCTCGCGACGGGCACTGTTCGGCACGGCTCAGCTCGGCACGGCTCGGGTCGGGTCGCCGAGCCGGGACGGAGCCGGCGCCGGGCCCGCCCCGCTCCCCCGGGGCCGCTCCCCGGTCCGCCCCTGCCCGGGGCAGCACCTGAGCACGGCCCGGTCAGTGCCGGCGGGTCCCCGGGGGGTGCGTTTGGCCGGAGCGCGCCCGCAGGGAGGGTGTCCATCCTCCCGTACCCCCTCCGACCCCCCGAGTGCCCGGCGTAGCCCGCGGGGCGGGGAGCAGAGCTTCCCCACCCGCTTGGTGGGGACGGAGCAAGTTGAGTTGCCGCCGCTGTGGCACTGGGACAGCGAGACCCGACCCAGAACCTCTCGTGTGACAGCGCAGGGCCAGTTACATGACTGTGCCAGATCAGGTGTGATGACAGTGCCGGGGTACAGAAGGTGCGCTGGGTCAGGTGTGGTGACAGGGACGGGTACCCGGCTGTGTGTCAGGTGTGCCAGGTCAGGTGTGGTGACAGGGCCAGGGTACACGGCTGTGCCAGGTCAGGTGTGGTGACAGGGCCAGGGTACACGGCTGTGCCAGGTCAGGTGTGGTGACAGGGCCAGGGTACACGGCTGTGCCAGGTCAGGTGTGGTGACAGGGCCAGGGTACACGGCTGTGCCAGGTCAGGTGTGCCGGGCTGTCACCCCGAGGCACTTGTATGCCGGCAGGTGCCCTCCAAAGTCCTGCCCCCGTCCCGGCAGCCTCCCACTGGTCCCAAACCCAGCAGAAACCAGACCACCTCGGCCCAGTTTCTTTCTCAGGGTGCCGAGATGCACCGCCTTAGCTGCACTTAAACTCGGCTGTCATAAAATGCTCCAGGGGCCTCATTCTCTTTCAAGTCTTGTCAAGATTCGCAGCTGGTTTGCAAGTCAGACAAACGCGGATGAAAACCACTTTGTGTTCCCCTGCAAGAAGCAGGGTTCCGCGGTACCACTCATCCCGCAGCTCCGACCGGCACCGGCTCGGTGTGCGCGGCCACACCTCAGGAGGGGGTTCTTTATGAACCGCAGCGCCCTGCGCACGCCTAGACAGCCTTTGCCCCGTCTTTCTACGCGCGGATGCGGAGCCCAGTCCGCTTCCCCCCCGAGCGGTCCCGCTGCCCCGGGGCGGAGCGCGGCCCGGCGCTCACCGATGACGGCGGAGCGGGCGGAAGGGGCGGTGGCGGCGGGCGGAAAGCGGCGGGCGGGGCGATGGGCCCGAGGCGGCGGCGGTGAGCGGCGCGGCCATGGCGGCGGCGGCCCGCGGCTGCCCCCCGGCGGGCTCCGGGGACCGCGCCCTGGCCGAGCTGCTGCTCGAGTTCTCCCGGGCACAGTACCGCGCCAAGGACGGCGGCGGCGCCGCCGCCGCCAAGGTGAGGGCACCGGGGCTCGGGGGGAGCGGGGTTCGGGGGTCCCGGCGCGGCGGGCACTGAGCGGTGGCTCTGCGCAGGTGGAGCGGATCGAGCGGCGGTGCCTGGAGCTCTTCGGCCGCGATTATCGCTACAGCGTGATCCCCAACCTGCACGGCGAGGTCTGCGCCCACTACCCGCGCTACATCGTCCTCCTGGAGCGCGACGCCGGCCGCGACCCGTAAGGCCCCCGGTCCCCGTGTCCCGCCCCGCACAGCTCACACCCGCCGGAGCGGTGGTGGTTGTTGTTGTTGTCGTTGTCCCGGGGAGCCCTCGCGCCCGCCGCTGCTGTCCGGGGGAAGCCCTGCACTGCGCTAATTATAGCCGGCGGTGTCACCGCTCCGAGGGCTCCCCTCGCTGCCTCCCGGGGCTGCCGCGCTCCCGTGGGGCTCCTCCCAGCGCCCCGGGGCTCCTGGGCTGCCGTGGTGAAAACCGAGCCTGTAAGGAGGGGTGTAAAGGAAGCGCCGGTGCTCCAGGGCAGCGCCAGCAACGCTGCATGTGGCCCTGGAGTAAAGGCGAGCACAGCGCTGGGTCCTGGTGGTTGCTCTGCTGCAGCTCGTCCGAAGGCTCGAGGCTGAGAGTGAGACTGTGCGATGCTCGCCCTCTCTTGATGAGGTGCCCGTGGTCTCACTGCAAGGCCTCTGATGTGGGGAATTTTAGTCTGCAAAGCATCTCGGGGCACGGGGTCTGATAAGGACTAGGCAGACGAGGCATTTTGGACAGATATTTCTGTCATTCTAGGCTGTTTCACCTCTCCCCACCGCAAAGGGCGGGTCAGTGGGCACTGAGGTCTAGTGAGCTAATGGGAAATGCTTCCTGGGAGTTTGATGCATGTCTAAGCCAACGTATTTCTGGACTTTGACCCACAGGCCCAGGATCACGTTGGTCTCACGTTGCTCCCTGCATATCCAACCACAGCATCTCAGTTTTATTTTTAATTCCAACAAGACATAACGCAGTTTTGCAGTCTTAACTGCATGCCCATGATAAGCATAACATGTTCAAAAGAATGATCACCAAGTCCCCCTCACATGTCCAGCTGCTTTGCCTGAGGAAGGCAAACAGCAAAACAGCACCTGCTGTGCTGGCACATGGGCTGGGTGCTGTAGGAGGGGATCTTTGGAAACCAGTCACAACTGACTGTCAGATGGGAGAATTTCTGCTTGATGGTTGGATTAGATTAGAAGAGATTAAACCCCTTGCTGCAAAAAACAGGAAACTGAAGTCTGAAGCAGTAAATGTAACTAGGGAAGAGAAACCGAATGCTTCTGCTTTCCTGCTCTTGCAAGAGGAAAGGGTGCTTAATTTTTCTGACAAGTATTCGAAACAAGAGTATTCACACTTGATGCCCCATTTTCTTCTGTGACTTGTGCAAGCCAGCAGTGGCAATTAACTTTTTTGAAACTCATTCTCCAAGTCTTGATTTGCTGTCCCAGAGAGTCATGGAAACAGACTACATTTTATCATCCCTCTCCTGATTTCTGGGCAATACTCTCTGTAAAAGCTGCTAAGTGATCTTTAGACAAATTCAGGTTTTAGTTTCATCATTGTATGGCTGTGGAATAATTATTACATAGAGACTGTTGCACTTCTTGTGTTACAAAACACAAGAACCTCTTCCGGTGAGCAGGACACTCCCTCTAGGACTGTGTGTCTTTGGCTGCCTTTCGTAGAACCACAGAATGGTTTGAGTTAGAAGAGACCTTAAAGATCCCTGGTTCTATCCCCCATGCCAGGGGCAGCAACACCTTCCACTGGACCAGGTTGCTCAGGGTGCCATCCAGCCCGGCCTTGGACAGTTCTGCTTTCATTTTTGTAATGTTCTTAATCAGCTGCTAAGATCTTCTTGAGGCTTCACACCTCTGAGAATCCTAAGGTGTTTCGGAAACAGTTTTCACTTGTGCAAACACTGCTGCCCTGTTGGTTCTGCTGGAACACCTGCTTCTGGAGCATGTGGGGAACCAGCAAAAAATGGATACTTTTAACCCAGATCAGTTTCCTGATCCTGTTCGTTTTGTGGCTGGGCAGCCCGGGGAAGAAAGGATGTTGCTTGGTCAAAGTTTGCTAATACTACTCTGAAATCCAGGGAGGTGCAGGAGGAATTCCATGTGTGTTTTTAGTCTCCATGTCCCTTGATCAGGTGCTGATTGTGAGGAGTCACAAAAAGTAGCAGAGTGTGTCTGATATCAGGAGTCCTTCCCTGTGCTTGGAAATCTCTGATATCACCTCACCACACTGCTGAGTACACGGGGACGATCGCTACCCTGATCCTGCTGGCCACACTATTGCTGGTAAAAGCCAGGATGCCCTTGGCCACCTGGGCACACGCTGGCTCATGTTCAGCTTGCTCTCAACCAGCACCCGCAGGTCCTTTTCCGCTGAGCAGCTTTCCAGACCCAACATAACTTGGCAGTTACTGTGATTGTGCTTAATGAAAATGTCCAAATCTCAGTCACAGGCCACATCTTTGGTTTTACAAGATGATCCTGTTATGTGTCTGCACTCCAAATGAATATGATCACAGTCGTGTGTAATGTAGCAACATAAGAGGAACACTTTGTTCCAGTGCTGTTATGGTCACACAAAGAGGAGCATCTCTGCTTCAGGCCTATCTAAAATAGTTGCCAAAACAGTTGCTGCTCTTACAGGACATGTTTCCCTTGCATTTAAAAAGATTATTTTGGGTTTGGGGTCTGATTTTGGGTGGAGGGAGGTCAAGAAGTAAGCTTTGCCCAGCAGTATCTTCTGGAAAACAAATTTCTGAAGAACAACATCCCCTCCACCCCTCTACCACAAACACCAAAAGGTAAAAAAAAAAAAAAAAAAACAAAAAACTCACACGTTATTCCTTCTACCTTATTCTCTGCCTTGTGCCAAACAGCCTTAATGATGCTCTTTCATGTTGCTGAAGAGTGCTCTTTTTGAACCTTTTTCAGTAGATTTTACTCCTACTTACATTGCATTTAATCACTAGTCCCTGTAAAAGCATTACACCTGTTCTTCAGAGCAGGTCAGCCCTCCCCTTACTACAATAGTCTCGGTACAACTGTGTTTGTTTACCATGTTTACCTCTAGCTCATGTTTATCTCTCGCTTTACTGATGATGGTTATTGAGATGAGAAGATCTGAGAGCCCTGTTTGTAGCACATCCATAACAGGTAGCAGAGCAGGTCTCTCCAGAGCGTGTGCAGGCGTGGTGTGCCTGGGAGAGGGGCTCATCCTTCTGTGTCCCCAGTGGGGTGTTTTGGCTTCCTGCTTGCCCCATGCCCTGGGTTCTTGCCAAGCTGCTCAGAATCATTCCCCAGTGCTGTGATGCCTCTCCAGGGAAGTGCAGTGAGTGTGCTGAGAGGTGAAACCTGTTGTCTTGTCTCAGCCCCTGG